GGGGCAGGGCGCTCAGGTAACATGAGAGCCCACACTGGCTCCAGGCAGTGCTCGCTCTCCTCACTCCCCCACGCTGCCACTCACAGTGGGGCTGTGGCATGGCATGCCATGGCACCTTAAATCAAAATACCGAAGGGCTTCTCAATTAGTTACTTGAGTAAAATGAATTTAACTTCACCTATTATAGCATTAAAAAGAGCTTAAGCCACTTAATAAATGGTAGCTAGAGTCACCTCTTAATGGATAATCATATTTTCTCATTTGCAGTGTAAGTGCTAGAAGACAGAATGACTTTAAAACTGTTCATGAGAGGACTCAATTATCTGATAAGCAATTCCAAAGACCATACACACAAACTCTGAAACATGGCTTTTTATGAACGGCATCTCACAAGGAACAAGCTATTTGTGGCACGGGAGTTCTGGAAAATGTAATTATTTATCCTTTCACAATTAATGAAAGAAATTGGAAATGAAGCTTTCATTTCAAATCCTTTTTATCTGGATGAAACTTTAATTTTACATAATTAAATTGACTTCACAGTTCAGTGTGTTAAAATACACAATTAGGCGGCATATCAAGGTGAAATGCCTCCTGTTGTTGGCTCATTTAGAAATCATGCTGTCGAGCTCCCAAACAACAACGAACACCTGCCCACCTGCTCTTATCCCCAGAGCCGGGGATGGCATACAGCCTGCGGGGCTGGCTTCTCAAATTCACAGTCGAATTTTCTTGTAAGTGCTAACTCCTGCAGAAGTTAGTCACGTATTTAAAATAGTTTTTGCTTCTGTTTTTCAGTGGAGTTTTTTGTTTTTTTGATTTTTTTTCCATGAGAAAATATTGTGGGACTGTGATGATGCAACATAGATGATTCACTTTCTCTCTCAGAGAAGCTCCTGCTGAGGTAACCCTTGGATTCTTCAAAGTTGCTGGTTGAAATTCCGTGGAAACTCCCTTATTCCAATCTTGCCATTTTACAATTTGTGGCAAACTTCAGCTGAGACCACTTTCAAATTATTGTTGCATTCCTGGAAAAGGCTTAAATATTTGTAGGTGGTACTGAAGGGTGACATACACTCTAATGGGATTGGGGTGAATTCCCTGGAAAGTTAATTAATTAGAGAGAGAGCAAGCAGGAGCAGGGGAGAGGAGAAGATGAGAGAGAATCTTAAGCAGGTTCCACACTTAGTGCAGAGCCTGATGCGGGGCTCAATCCCATGACCCTGGGATCAGGACCTGAGGTGAAATCAAGAGTAGGACACTCAACTGCCCAAGCCACCCAGGCACTCCTGGACATGTATTTTAGGAGGCGGTGGTTTATCGAGGTAGAAAGCTCACCTATATATCTTCCCCTTGTTTTCCCTTTGAACAGTACTTTGTGATGGTTAATTTATGGCTCAGTAGTGTCCTATATTCCCTTAAGGAATCTGTGAATGGAACACAGTTCAACAATTAGAATGGAGTTCTCTTCCCTTTTTTGATATAGTCTACAATTTACATAACAGTGATTCTTGTTTTATCCATTGGGGAGGTTGTTAGGAAGGATTCATGGATCTAAGCAATATCCTTACTGTAGCAATACATGGAAAACCTGGACCCCTTTTGTGGCTTTTCCAGATAAACACAGAAGCGTGTTGCTACATTCATTATAAAAGCCACAAAAAGAAGATGATCCTATCATGAGACTGCTCAGGACAAACTTGTTTAAAATGGGGGCATATGCTCCTCTTGTAGGTTTATCCTCTGTATAGTACTCTTGCTACTTATTATAGGATGTAGGTTGTTAGGATGATCAGCAGACCATGAAACTGGAAGAAGACTGTAAAATGTATTGGTGTGTAGAGTAATATAATGTATATCAGAACATATGAATGCTTTATTCTTTTGAGCCAAGACTTGAGATATGGTATTGTCTGCTTTTAGGATACCACAAGCCATTAGGGAATTAGTAAATTCTTCTAAAATTCCGTGAGCTCGACTGGCCTCTGTCTCTTTGCATTGCCCTGGAATCCAAAGGAGGACTCAACTACCAAAGGACAGAGGAAGAATAGTGAAAACATAGTTTTAGTAAGTGAAAAGGTATATTAATGTAGCCATGCAAATTGTAAAAGCACTTATTCAAATATAATTTCATATTTACAAATTATTCTCATCAGATCTCTCCTCCATTAAGATTTATAGAAAGTAACACTGATGGTATTTAGTTTTGCTTATTGCATACACTAGAAAGCAAGTAAACTACTGTTTAGTGAAATTGTTTACATGCACACATACACAATCATCGGCTGGTCTCCCCAAGTCTGCAAGTTTCAACACTGAATACGTGTTTAAATAATACCAAACAATAAAAGCTATTTTGCACAGCAACCATAAATCTTTTACCATTTCTTTTTTTTTTTTTTCCAACGTTTTTATTTTTTATTTGTGGGACAGAGAGAGACAGAGCATGAACGGGGGAGGGGCAGAGAGAGAGGGAGACACAGAATCGGAAACAGGCTCCAGGTTCTGAGCCATCAGCCCAGAGCCTGACGCGGGGCTCGAACCCACGGACCACGAGATCGTGACCTGGATGAAGTCGGACGCTTAACCGACTGCGCCACCCAGGCGCCCCTATCTTTTACCATTTCTAAGAAACATGCAGGTCTGATTACATTTCCTGTAATCTGAGTTTGATTTTATACAGATCCTATCGTATGAGAATCTGAAATGTCTACACAGTAGAGCTGTTGATACATTCTCAGGATTCAGATAAAAGAATTCTGATTGTGTATAAGAATGTGGTACAACTGACACGTTCCTCAGTATGGCCCGATGCTCTCGGCTACTTTACTGGATCGGATTTGATGCAGAGGAACTGCTACTGATCTGGGTCCTTCAGAACCAGATGGAAGGAACTATGGACACAGGTAAATGTGATACAAGCAAATGAAGATAATGCACACAGAACAATCATGCACAGAGACTCCCTAAACCTTATACTGGCCTCTTTTGACTTCCTTCTCCATCAACACTTATCAAGGCATTGGAGTGGAAAAGATGCCTTTTAAAAATGAAAACCTAGACAGAAGGGATCAGATATCAACATGGAACCAATTCCAGTGAAAGAAAAGACCCACTTTGAAAACCCTTTAATCCTAGCTGTTACCTTCCGAAGCATGAATTCAGAATTGTCACTCATTTGTGTGGATAGAACTGACAGTTCTCCATTGCCAAGTGAAAAATCTTCCTGATTTTTTTTTTTTTTTATTTTTCTTGATTTCCTTATTTGGGGTCAACAGATGTCTGAAAAGTTTAAAGGTTCTTGGTATAACTTTAAATATTTATTTATTTATTTTTTTGAAAGAGCACTAGCATGGGACGGGCAGAGAGGAGACAGAGAATCGGAAATGGGCTGTGTTGATGGTAGTGAGCCTGATGCGGGGCTCCAACTCACAAACCATGAAATCATGGCCTGAGCCCAAGTCAGATGCTCAACCGATTGAGTCACCCAGGCGCCCCTCAGTATAACTTTAAATTGTACAGTGAATAAATAGCACTCAGTCCATTATTACGTGGTGGTAGAAATCAAGCATTTGCAGAACAAAATGATGTTTTCTTTAAGTCACCCTTTAGGGAAAGGCAACTTATTCTGACATTGAGCTATCCTTATTATTCGCTTTGAGGTGAAGCTAACTGGACAGAGACCTGTATACATGCACCAAATCACAAAGACAACAACGGGACAAGGACTCCAAATCAATAAGCACATGTGAAAGCACTTTAAATCTGTAACATGCATTATGAGGTACATCATCCTTCAAATCTAGAAAGGACAACCGTGAGAGGGAATAACTGTGTTTTTAGAAAGCACTGCTCCCTTGTGCAAGATTTTTGTGTTTAGAACATTTTTGCTAACACCAAATAAACTAGTGCGTGTTCTGCCCATAAATCAGGGAGATAAAGAACTCAAGGATGACTGCTTCCCCAGACCGCTTGATTTTCTTTCTGTATAGTTCATAGTTTACAAGCATCACCAGTGATGGTCTAAATATAAAGCTTGCTACACTGTCATTACCTCCTGTAGTATCCTGTAGATACGAATCTATACCTCGATTTGAGGCCCGCTGAAGCACTCAAGAGCCACTACATGAAACAGTAAGCTACATTTCCTAATTCAAGGATGGATTTAGTTTCCAATCAGAAATGGGAACTACAAACAGCAGCCACCCAATTGAAGGTGCCAATGTAAGTCCAAAGTCTTAAAATTAAAAGTTACCTAAAGATAAAACAGCGAAATAAATCTAAGTCTGCAATGAACAGAGGTAGTAAAATTCTATGCCCCAACAACTGGTTTAAAAATCTGGAAGGAAAATTAATATTCCTCTTGAATAATGACTTGCTACTTTTTATTGGCACTCTATCATTTGAACATTTATGTGTCATTCACCAGCCAGTGCTCTATTTTTTTTATTCTAGTCTCTTTGTGTTTCAGAAGACATTTTCTTTTTGAAAAGAAATAGAAGAGCTTTTTCACTACCCAGATAACACATTTCAAATTCAGTTAATTAGGTAACTGTTGAAATCCCTAACTGCAACTTGTTAGGGCCAGTATCATGCCTTCTCTCTGAGAGGAGGAGTCTGAATTCAAATACAATGATTGTGAACAGTTTAATAAAGACCTTTGTAGATGATTTTAGGAGATTCCCCGGACATTTATTTCAGCCTGGAAAATAGCTGAATACATGGAAAGGATGTACTCTCCATTTAACCAAGTAGACAAAAAAAAAAA